TGATCCAACAGAGTAAGGAAATTGTCAAACAATATCACTAATATCACACGCAAACAAAATCCTGTTGAAGATTATTAAGAAATGACTGGAACAGTACATCAACAGAAAACTACCAGAAACACAGCTGGATTTAAAAGAGACCATAGCCAAAGTCAGATAAATCTTGGCTGAAAGAAGAGAGTACTAGAGAGATGTCTATCTGTATTTCAGTGACTTTGCAAAGGTATTTGACTGTGGATCAGAACAAATTGTGCCTAACACTGAGAGTGGCAATTCCAGGACACCTGATTGTGCTCATGTGAAATCTAGCAGAAGAGATCAAGAAGACACTGCATGGTTCGAAATCAGGAAAGAAGTGTGTCAGGGATGCTTTCTGTCTCCCTATATTTTCAATCTATATGCTAAGCAGATCATTTGAAGGCTGGACTTTATAAGGAGGAATGTGGCATCAGGATTGGAGGAAGACTCATCAACCACCTGCATTATGCATATGACATGACCTTGGTTGCTGAAACTGAGGAGGACCTGAAACGTTTGCTGCAGAAGGCCAAGGACTTCGGTCTTCAATATGGATTGAAGTTCAACAGCAAGAAAACAAAGATTCTCACCACTGGATCAAATAGCAGCGCCATGATATCTGGAGAAGAGATTGGGACTGTTAACAGTTTCAGTTTGCCTGCTTTCACAATTAACACTCTTGGCACCAGCAACCAGTAAGTCAAAAGATGAATTGCATTGGGAAAGTCAGTTGTCAGGGACCTCTCCAGAGTGTTAAAGAGAAACGATATCAGTCTATAAGCTAAGGTATGCCTGATCTAGGCCATGGTCTTTGCAATTACTTGCTATACAGAGAGCTAGAAAATGAATAAAGATGACAGAAAAAGAATTGATGCCTTTGAGTTGTGGTGAAAAGTATTAAACAAACCATGGACTGCCATGAGAACAAACAGGTCTCTTCTGGAGAGGATGAAACCAGGTTGCTTCCTGGAGGCAAAGATTTTTTTTTGTTTTTAAATTATCTCACATACTTTGGGCATGTGGCTAGGAAGGACTAGTCCTTGGAGAAAGACATCATGCTTGGAAGGGTTGAGATGAATGAATACATTGACAGTAGTAGTGGGGGCAGGTGTGTCGGAGATGGTGAGATTGGCTCAGGAAAGAGCATGATTCAGAGTTATTGCGCATAGGGTTGTTATGAGTCACAATCAGCTTAACGGCACACAACAACAACTATATTGGACAAGGAGGAAGAGGAATTTCTTATAGAGTGGAAACAGGAACCAAATAAGATCATGCTTGGAAGACAATTGTTGTTGCTGTGTATAGAATCAGAGCTGACTCATAGCTGATGCTCCAGGTGGTTTTCAGTGGCAGTAAATCACACAGAAGAAGATTGTCCCGAGAAGCTGGTGAATTTGAACCAGGTCACTTTGTATAGCCAAAGCATGATTCTTTACTGCTAAGCCACCAGTGCTCCCTTTGAACACAAGTAGTAGCGTTAAATAGCAGATATCCTAGTGTGGGAAACTACAGGGATGAGTGAATATCATATATGCAGAACACATGATTGGGTCCTATAGGGTACATGATGCATGCTTTTAAGTTTATAGTAAGATAGGCTTAAAACAATAGGAGGACATATTTTTCTGGTACTTTGAAAACTATTACTCATTTTTTTTAAAAGAAAAATAAAAATCTGCAAAACATAAAGAAAATTGTAAAACCCAAACCTTAAGTGTTTTCTCATTTGTGTCTTTCATGGTGAAGAATTATCAGTAACGTGGGGCATTGTTACGGAATGTTGGGGAGGAGGGGAAGACCTCTGGTCAGGACAGATCACCTAAGCTCCAGATAAGTGCAAGCCTCCTAACGACCTTTAATATGGGGTAGAGAAAGCTCCCTTGTGTTTGGCTGTACCAGCTTGAGAAACCTCAGCCTCCTGGGAAGACAGCTGTCGCATCTGTTGAGCTGGGAGTGGTCCACACGAGGCTGAAGTTCTCCTAACCAATACGCATGTCCCATGTCCATAAGCCCACCCTATTCTGTCTTTCTGTTTACCTGGTTGTATATAAGTGAGCTGAAGTCCCCAATAAAATTGATCTGGACTGACTCTCTGACCCTTCCTGAGTGATGTATCTCCGTCGTGCTTACCCCTATCAGGGTGTCGCTGTTAAGTTGCTGGCGTCGCATCTCTTTGACCAGAAAGGATGTTCACCATGGGTACGATATTACTAATTGCTGCCAAATGGATTACAACTCAGAGCAAGCCTATGAACAACAGATCTGAACCTTGCCCTAGCCTGTGTCATCCTCACGGTCTCTTAGATGCTCCAGCCCTTGTTACAGTCACTGTCCCAATCTGTCTTGTTGGGGGTTTTCATCTCTTTCTATAACCCTCTACCTTCCCCAGCATGATGTCTTTTTTCAAGAACTGGCTCTTGACCATAACTGACACCCAAGCAGATATATGCACACACATGTTTATTGCAGCTTTCTTCACAATAGCAAGGAGTTGGAAACAACCTAAGTGCCCATCAACAAACCAATGGCTAGAGAAGCTGTGGTATATTCGCACAATGGAATACTATGCTGCATTAAAAAACAAGGAACTCATGCAGTATTACTCAAAATGGTTGAC